GCCCCCGAGGCACAAGTTAAATTACGAGTGATAAATCGTCTTACACAGCGGAAGTTATCGCATGAGCCGCATGGAGATCTGTAATTAATCAGGCGCTTGTAATAATCGTGACGGATTGTCGTGAAAGATGTCTTTTGAATATTAGTTTATCCGGCGAGATGAAATAATGGAAGAGTTACGAGTGTTCAGTGTTCGAAATGTTCAAGGCTGGATGGGACGCGAGGTGTGGCGTGTTGGTGTTGTGTGTTATGTATGGTGTGTTTGGGAGTTTGGGTGAAAATGGTATATGAGTGGGGGGTGTAATTGTGAATATGATGTAACTGGGGACGTAATTGGAAATATGAAATAACAGGGGATGCAATTGTGAATTTGATAGAACTGAGGTAATTGGCTGGGGTTGTGATAACGTATGTAGGTTACGAGAGAGAGGGGAGAGAGAGAGAGAGAGAGAGAGAGAGAGAGAGAGAGAGAGAGAGAGAGAGAGAGAGAGAGAGAGAGAGAGAAGAGAAAGAGAAAGAGAAAGAGGGAGAGAGAGAGAGAGAGAGAGAGAGAGAGAGAGAGAGAGAGAGAGAGAGAGAGAGAGAGAGAGAGAGACACACACACACACACACACACACACACACACACACACACACACACACACACACACACACACACACACACCCCTCCCTCTATCACATTCCAAGAGGAACACTTTGACATACCCGAACCCTCCACCTTCGTCATTAGGACATCCCCGCCAACCTCCGCCAACCTTCGCCAAGCTCTTTCTCAGCTCCATAAACTCCTTCCCAAGCTCCCTCTCAAGCTCCATCAAGCTCCACCTATCTCCTTCTCAAGCTCCATCAAGCTCTATCAAGCTCCACTAAGCTCCTTCTCAAACTTAAACTCCATCTTCAAACCGCGCCGAGTTTCCCTCCCCCCCTCCCCCTCCCCTTCCCCTCTTTTCCACGAGCTGCCAATGTCTCTCCGATTAAACGATGCTCTTAGAACCTCATTACAGAGACGTCGGGGTAAATCATCGCCTGCGGGAGAGAATGGTGGATCGTGGGCGTGCGTGGGCGTGTGAGGGGGAGGAGGGGCGTGTGTGTGTGTGTGTGAGCGCGTGTGTGTGTGTCTGTGTGTGTGTGTGTGTGTGTGTGTGTGTGTGTGTTTGTGTGAGCGTGAGCGTGTGTGTGTGTGTGTGTGTGTGTGTGTGTGTGTGTGTGTGTGTGTGTGTGTGTGTGTGTGTGTGTGTGTGTGTGTGTGTGTGCGCGCGCGTGTGTGTGTGTGTGTGTCTGTGTGTGTGTGTGTGTGTATGTGTGTGTGTGTGTGTGTGTGTAACGGTTTCGATAAGAGAGCTGGGTGGTCGCTATTATATTTACCAAGGTTTAAGCTCTCATACGGAAGATTATTATTATTCTTTATGGGTGTAGATTTCTTTTTATTGAAGTGTTTGCTCAAGATAGCCAAGGAGATTGAAGAAAAAAAAAACATAGGCTGTCTATAGAGTATCATAAAAAGGAATAAAAAAATATTAATTCATCCACTTCTACGGGCAAGACCTTCCATACTCCATTGTGCCTTTGTATTGTTAGCAAGAGGACCTTAAAAGGAATACGTAATGAGGATTTTTTTTTTTTTTTGTTACCTGTTTGACAAACGAGGACGGGAGAGAGGGGGGGGAGGAGGTTTGTAGGGGAGGGGGGGGAGTAGGTAGATCAATAGTAGGTGAAAAAATATAGAGTAGATAACAGTAGAGTATTGGGGATAAGACGGAGGGGCGGCTCGGGCTAAAATATTGATGGGAAATGATTCAATGATAAGCCGGCTCCCTTCCTCACCAATTCGCTTTTACGTCCATGGGAATTGTGTGTTAGGTTTGTCTCGTTTCATCGCGGGAGGGGGGAATGTCCTGATGTGAAAGATGGGTATGCATGGTGTATATTTGTATCTGTTTCTCTCATATACATATATGATATGATATAATATTTTATATATATGTATATGTGTGTGTGTGTGTGGATATGTATATGTATATTACATATACGTATACATACACATACACACACACACACACACACACACATACACACACACACACACACACACACACACACACACACACACACACACACACACACACACACACACACACACACACACACACACACACACACACTCAAATATACGTACAGACATACATACAATAATAATACACGCACATACAGTAATTACAGACAAACATACATTAAATGTGTGTGCATTTTTTGTAACTGTAGCTTTGATCGTTTATTTATGTATGCAATCAAGGAAACATTCTTTCTTTAATTATTATTATCATTATTACTTTAATGCGGGATCGAATGTCATTCCCGCCAGCCCTCGGGGCGTTCGGAGCGACAAAGCAGAACGATAATTCACGTTTCCTTTTTTCACTCAGTGCGAATTTCGAGTTTCCTCCGAGTGGCTTTGTTTTCGCAGATTTGCCCGCAGGGAATGGCTTGCAAGACATAAGATCTGTTTTTTTTAAGACGAAGCCAATTCCGACGTCGCGGAATGAGCAGCGGAAATTTTGGCGGGAAAATTGGGGCGTGATCGCGTTTCATTTGTTTCGCGGGTCTTTTTTTTCGTGTTGATTCTTCTGTTATTGTTTTATTTTTGTAGTTTTTTATCTTGGGTTGTGATTATTGTTGTCATTATTATTATTGTTAATGTTGTATTGTTTTATTATTGTTATTATTATTATTATTATTTAATTTCATTTTATTTTTATTTTATTTTTTTTACGACAGTATTTCACTATCGTTCGTCGCATGACTAAAGAACATAAAGTGACATGCTTCTTTTGCTTTTCCATTTCACCCCTCGGCTCCCCGCATGTATGTGTGTGTGTGTATGTGTGTGTGTGTGTGTGTGTGTGTGTGTGTGTGTGTGTGTGTATGTGTGTGTGTATTTCGATTACCTGCAATTAACCTGGGTCCTCAGGTACGAATTAACCCCGCTAGTAAATCGCTGACGCCGCTGTGAAATCGCTAGTAAATCGCTAACTCCGCTAAGTGTGTCCCTTCTTAAATATATATGTAAATATGTATTCATTAGACGGAAGCCTGTAATCACACAAAGGTTTAAGTGAAGCGAAAGGATTTACAGCCATGATAATTAAAAGCAATGGCACACTCGCGGGGCGTGTGTCAGGTGATTTTTTTTTTTTTTTTTTTTTTCGTTTTTCAATGCAACGGTTTGTAATTAGGGAGAAATAGGTACGCTCAGACCTTCATTAAAAGGGTCTCTCCCTCCCTCTCTCTCTCTCATTATTTTTCACTGTTTTTCCTTTACAAATGTCTCTGCTTCTCTCTCTCTCTCTCTCTCTCTCTCTCTCTCTCTCTCTCTCTCTCTCTCTCTCTCTCTCTCTCTCTCTCTCTCTCTCTTCTCTCTTTCTCTCTTTCTCCCTTTCTCTCTTTCTCTCTTTCTCTCTCTCCCTCCCTCCCTCTCTTTCTCTCCCTCCCTCCCTCCCTCTCTCTCTCTCCTCCCTCCCTCCCTCCCTCCCTACCATCCACCCATCCTCCCTCTCCCTCCCTCTCGCTCCCTCACTCCCTCCCTCCCTCCCTCCCGTCTCTCTCCCTCCCTCCCTCCCGTCTCTCTCCCTCCCTCCCTACCGTCCCTCTCCCTCCCTCCCGTCTCTCTCTCTCTCCATTTTTCTGCCTCATACGACATGGCCATAAGTCAGCCGCGAGTATGTATTACTAACGACAATTGCTTTCTTTCTCCCGCGTGCCTTATCATTACTGTCTGGCTTCGTTGCAAAGGGAGGTATAACACGATATTTTACGGCCGAGGGAAGAGCCGAGTGATGTTTATGTGAGAGGGAATTTTATGCACTGGTTCTCAAACGTGGAGATTCCCTCCCTCCTTCCTCCCCCCATGGTGTGTGTGTGTGTGTGTGTGTGTGTGTGTGTGTGTGTGTGTGTGTGTGTGTGTTTGTGTTTAAAGTGTGACCGTTTTTTTCTTTTCTTTTCTTTTCTTTTTGTATTGTTGTTATTATTATTATTATCATTATCAGTATCATCATTATTATTATTGCTGTTGCTGCTTTGTTGTTATTATTATTTTTTTTAGGGAGGTGCGATTCTTGTCTTGTTTTTATGATTTTTTGTAGTTTCTGTCCAATGTCTTTCTCATTTTCTGTTTTATTATTATTATCTTCCCTTTCCTCTCCTTTTTATTATTCATGCATCCTTTCTTCTTCTTAATATCTTACCCTTCCTACATTTTTACCTGATAATTACCCTCTTTGTGCGATTATCTCTATATATATTTTTTTTTTCGCCGAGGTTAACACGAAAGAAAGAGCGAGGATTTCCATCAGTCGTTCCTCTGTGTCTTACTCATGAAAAATTAGCTGCTCATGAAAATTGCAAACTCGTGAAAATTGCAGAGTCGTCGACTGTGACTGGTACCTTATCTTCATAAAGCTAATGACTGTTGCAAAGGAAAATTGTGCCGCGTTGGTGACGAGGGTAGTATGATTGTGCAGGACCGGACTAGCGCGTACTTTGTAATTGTTGAAATTGAAGAGAAAAAAAGGGAAATGGGGTAAAGCGCTACTACTAAGGGGGTTGAGGTTATGGTGATGATGGTGAGGGTGGGGATGGTGATGGTTAGAGGGATGGTGAGGGTGATTATGATGGTGATGGTGAGGGTGATGATGGTGGTTAAAGTGAGGGTGGTGATGGTGAGGATGGCGATGGTTAGAGTGAGGGTGATGATGGTGAGGGTGAGGGTGATTATGATAGTGATGGTGAATTGTATTTTATTATTATTGTTGTTGTTATTATTGTTATTATTATTATTATCATTATTATTGTGACTATTTTTTATCGTTATTATTATTATTATTAGGATTGTCATTATTATCACTGGCATTATTTTTTATTGTCATTGATACCAGAACTGTTATCAAGCCTACTCCTTTTTATCGTAATGGTCTCTTATACTATTTTTTCTCTCCTTTTCCGCAGGGGTTCCAGTCGAAACTGCTATTTGGTTCGAAGGAGATTGTGGCGATCAGCTGTTCCTGGTGCAAGTCTGCCTACCATAACAAGGAGAGCTGCTTCAACATGAGTAAGATTGAGGAAACGTGTTCTCTTGGTAAGTATTTTTTCTTTAATTTTTTTTTCTTTCTTTCATTTCGTGTGTGTGTGTGTTTTCTTCATTTTTTCTTTCTTTCTTTTCGTGTGTGTGTGTGTTTTTTTTTTCTTTCTTTCTTTTCGTGTGTGTGTGTGTGTGTGTGTGTTTTCATTTTTTCTTTCTTTCTTTTCGTGTGTATGTGTGTGTTTTTTCAGTTTTTCTTTCTTTCTTTTCGTGTGTGTGTGTGTGTGTGTTTTTCTTTCTTTCTTTTCGTGTGTGTGTGTGTTTTTTTTTTTTCATTTTTTCTTTCTTTCTTTTCGTGCGTGTGTGTTTTTCTTTTTTGATGTGTTGATTTTTTTTTTCAAAGATGGATTGATCGATGTTCGTGTAGTAAGTCGGTTACTTCATCCCTCAATCGGACAGTCAGTCATACATTCGCAACGAAGCTTACTCGAACGCTCGTCCAGCCATTGGCTTTATCACTGAGACACTTTTTTTCATTTATTTTAGTACTCAGTCAATTTCTTTTTTCTCTCTGTCTGTCTGTCTGTCTGTCTCTATCTTGGCTATCTAACATCGTCTTCGTTGTTTTTGTTGTTACCGTTCTTCTTTTTATTATTTTTGATAGAAATGATAAATATGCTATAAAATGACCATAATAAAATATAGTCATTTTTATAGCTGTTGTTAGAATTATCGTTTTTCTTGTTTTAATCATCATCATTGCTTATATTATTATTGTTATCATCATCATATTGCTTTAATCATCATCATCATCATGACCATCATCATTTTTTTCACCTTATTCATCATCATTCATCACAGTCATCACTATCATCACTCTTACCACACCAAAGACCCAGTATCAGTATATTTAACATGTTTATTAGCATCAGGAGCAACAACTCGATAATTCCCTCACATCAGCTTTGTAATATCAATAAGTAGATCCTCCTTTTGATGTCCCCCACCCCCCCCCACCCCCCTCGAAAGAAAAAAAAAGAAAAAAAGAAAATCTGTGAAAGGTACGAACGCAGACATGAAAGGGAGACGAGAGAGTGTTATGTATGAGGCAGAAAAGGGGACAGGAGGTGGCTTACTTAAGGGGGGAGGGGGAGAGGGGGTAGGGGTGTTTGTGAAGAAGGAAAGGGGGGGTTGGGGAAGGGAAGGGAAGGTGTTATTTTTCTTTCTTTTTTTTTCCTCTTCTTTTCTTGCTACTTTCTTTGGGTTTGGGTTTGTTTTCTCTCTCTCATTTTTGCTTTATTCTCTTCTCTCTTGTGTCTCCTTCGTGTTGTTTTTTCTTCTGTTTCCATTCTTTCTTTTTTTACCCCTTCTTTTCCTTCCTTGCCCTTCTCCTTTTCTCTCGTTTTCTTTCTTCTCCCGTTTCTTGTTTTCTTGTTTTATCTCTCTCCCTTTATCCATTTTCCCTTACAGTCCCTCCTCCCCCTTCTCCCTGCCTCCTCCTTCCATCTCCCTTTGTATCCCCCTTCTCTCTCTCTCTCTCTCTCTCTTCTCTCTTCTCTCTTCTCTCCCTTTCCTCCCATCCCCTCCCCCTCCTAGTCCCTCTCCCTTCCTTCCTCCTTCCTCCCCCCTCCCTCTCCCACCTTTTCTTCTCCTACCCACCCCCCTTCCATTCCCCCTTCCCTCCCTCCCTCCCTCCCTTCCTCCCTTCCTCCCTTCCTCCCTCCTCCCACTCCTTCCCCTGCTATTCCCCTCTTCCCTCCCTCCCTCCCATCCCCTCCCTTCTCCCTCCTCCCTGGTCCCACCCCTTCCCCTGCCTTCCCTCTCTCCCTCCCTCCCTCCCTCCCATCCCTTCCTCTCATCCCCTCCCTTCTCCCTTCTCCCTCCTCCCTCCCTCCTCCCTCCCTCCTCCCTCCCCCCTCCTCTCTCCCTCCTCCCACCTCCCTCCTTTCCTAACCACACAACCACTATCAGCTGCACGTGGCGCCAGGTAATGGTTACGGCCATTTGACCTTCGCAGCGTAATAGTCTTGTCTGTAGGGATCGTTAAAGTGGCCTCTTTTGCTTATCGATAAGTTCGTCCTTTTATGTTTTGAATAGATTTTTTTTTTTTTTTTCGTGGCGGGAAGGTAAGGGGGAGGAGGGGGGGAAGTCATTGGGAGACCGGGGCGGATATGCTTGACCTGATTTCGTTCGTTTGTTTTTTTTCTTGTTTTTGTTGTTGTTGTTGTTGTTCTCGCTTGTTGATTTTTTGTACTTGTTTCGTTCTATTTTTTTCTCTCTTGCTTTGGATGTGTTTAGCTTGCGCCTGATGATAAACATTAGTTGTAAATGTTGTTAACAAACAACTAAACAAAGCAACACACAACAAAAATATTGTACACCGTAGAGTGTATTTAGCGAACTCGAGTAATTCCTGGAAATGAGAGA